CATGACAAAAACATGTCGTCTGTTGCCATAGCAAAATACTAGTTTCTGATTCACTTCGAGATACCACAAAACACCAGGATAATCCCAGTCTTGGGAGTACTGTGGGAACGTGAATTAAATCAATGCTTTTAGATGTATCAAATTAAATATACACTACACACTACGTGTGAAGGGAGATAGCTGGTGGTATAAGGAAACTTAACTGCTTTCCGTACAGGTGTTGGAGCAATTTTTGAAGTGTCAAGGCTGCAGTCAAACACATTTCCATAAGAGAGGACTTTAAAAAGGCAAATCTAGAAAAGTGTGTTGAATAATTACAGTTATTACCCAGTACTCACTCACGGGGTGACTAGCTAAGTATGAGTTCTACCTGTCCACCAAAGCTGGTCAATCCTTCCTGAGAGTCCCTTCTGTATGACCAGTGAACATCAGACAAACCTTCCTAACAGACCGGTCTGCACTCTCCAAACCACCTCTATTTGCAGCAAACCATCCCCTCGGGGCTGCCCACCCTCCTTCCCTCCACAGCCCCTGCTACGACAGCGGAAGCAGCGGGATAACCATGAGAACGGGCGGATGGCTGTGAATTAGCTCAGCAATATCAGAGATGGGGGCATTAACTACCCCTTAAAGCCTGCCTGCTTGCTTTTAGCTATCAAGTCTACCCTGTCCAGATTTATCAGATATTCCGCACCGCACACACACTGTAGTCCTGACCTCATCCCAGAGAGACATTTAATTCTTTGGCTGCGACTCCTCAAATGAGCTAGATGACCGATTCAAGAGAGCCAAATTAAAACATCAGCCAGTCTGAAATGCTAGGTCATTTCACTGTGTCCCCTACACATTATCCTCTTCCTGAGTGCATCAAATGAAGTCACATATTCCCATGTTTTCTGGCAAAGCAAGTTAATAGCCTTTGTCTTTCCTAAGGATAGCATTCACCTGCTCTGTTCAGTTTTCCCTAGTCTAATTAAAATGAGATTAAACTACTGGTTTTAGTCTTGCACCTATACCTCTAGAGTACTACTACCTCATATTAAACACACAAGTCCAAGAGAGAAAACAGAAGTTTTCAGCACAATTAGGTTTTTTTTTTTAAAACAAGAATTGTCAAAAAATTGAAAACACAGAGAAAATGTGAAGAGCTTATAAAAATATTTTCAAACGTATGATTAAAATTATACCACTTCTGCATGTCAATCTCTCAATGCTTTCCATAATAATACTTTAACTTAATATGAAATACTTATTCCAAAAGAAAGCATTAGAGTATTTGAATTCAAGATTTCGCTCAGCCCTCTCATTCCCCTTCTGACTCTTATGTAACTCCTCCGATTTATTCACAATCCTCAGTCTCATTTAGCACAGGACTTCACACGAAGGTCAGACAGTTTTTAACCACATCTTTTGCTGGTTTTATTTTTTCAGTAGGCCACAGATTTCTAGATTATCAATTACACGTTTCCCTCCAAAGAGAAAACGGTCTACAGTCACCATTTTCCCATTTGTTAGAGCACAACCACCACACAATCTCTATAGAAAAGTGGTTCCCCAAGCCATACTTTCCAGATTAAAAAAGTCCCCTGTCAGCTGGCAACCCCCTCTTCTGCTTTTTCATACTCATTGGCTGTTAGCAAGTTGAAACATCATTTCCAAATATAACACAAGTTGTTTGTGGAAAAAAATGTGAAAAACATCAGGAGAGGAGATGAGCAGAGGAAGGACTCTGCTGAATTCATTATGAGCTTCTCCAAACCAGTATTCTAGCACTCACATGGCCGGAGATGACAGCGCTATCCCTGTCTGATACTCCACTCAATAGGCATCTAAAATACAACAAAAGATGCAGATGTGCGACAGTTAGAATAACAGCTCCTCTTATGACAGCTGTGTCATTAAGGACATGGATTACTTGCTGTCTTACCCAAGTAGCTCAGCTCTTCCGCCAGCATTACAAAGATGCCTGCTACGATGGTTAACAAGAGTTACACCGCAAGGCAGCAGCCCCAGTAGGTACAAAACTACTCCCTGAAATTTTGCAGAGAATGAGCCAATCTGCTGGGTACCTTTGTACTACCAACAGCAGATTTTTACCACCAGCAATTGGCAAGTGTGAATTTTGGGCTATTCCAGCTACCATCCAGAGAAACAGTTCAGCACTCTCACCGCTGGATTATATCCACAGTGGGTAGTTAACGCAAAGGAAGCCATCACAACGGCACAGTCCTGCAGCGTGAAGTTCTTGTTGAACAACAACATAACGGCCTTACTAGAAGAAATAAGCATTTTTGACCGGCAAGTATAATGTAGCATAACTTTTAGATTCACCAAAACGAAAAAGGGAGCCCCAGTTCAGGTGAACATCTAGAATTAAAAGCTATATAACAAAAATAAGCACACTGAACTCATCAACTTCCTTTTAAAGTCAACTGCATGGAAAAAAGATGAATGCAATATCAATTCCATATATGTAAACCAAAATTTAGGTTTTTGAGGGTTTGTTGCAAAGGCCTTCTGCAGGAGGTCAGATACCATATCCACAGCTAAAGCCTACTTAAGTGGTTCTACTTCTGCTGTACCTCTAAACCGTAGGCTGTTTAAGGTCTTAGGCTCAAGCACAGCACAAAGCAAGTAGAGCTCACAACAGAGATGCTCTGCATCTGCTATTCTTACATCTCTTCAGAAATCTCTCCTGGTCTTTTCTGAGCAAGAAAGGAGCGTGGAAGAGGGGAAGAACTTTTTTGTTTTGCTCTTCCATTCTCAGTGCACATCAAGTGACTTCACTCTTCAAACTCCTAGAATAAGATTAAAATCAGATGCAAACGTTTCCCTCCTGGCAGCTTATATTCAGACTTTGGGACGATCTAAGATTCATGTAAAAAGGTCACTGGATAATGAATTAAACACTCCCAACATGACCATCATTAATGCCGCAGGCAACAGGCACAGGCTCTAGCTGCTCGTAACTAAGAGGGAGCGCCCTTGATGTCTTTATGTTGAGCAGAACTGGAGCAGCTGCACTCCTCCGCATCCTCTGCCTCCCCAGCACCTCAGCCAGAGAGGCTGTTTGTCTGTCTGTCAGATGGACAGGCGCTGCTTTCCTTCCGGAAGGTGAAAGGCACTACACAATTCCTGCTCGCTCTCCAAAGCGTACATTAGGAAGGTTTCAGCACCTACCTGGGTTAAACTAGACGGGCTATTTTTACTCCTGCATCTCTATTAAAATGCAGGAGATGCAGGAAAACCCTCACAGCCCATACCCACGATTTGTCTGTAGCTTCCAGACAGTTCAAATCACCAGAGCTTCAATAATACGTAAGAGAGATGGTACAGATTCAATGCTTCAAAATGCAGAGTGGGAAAATCTAAATCTGGACAAGTATCCAAATGCAAATGCCTGATCAACCCCACAGGCAGCCCTAGTTCGCTCCTCCTCAGGACACGGTGACACCACCCTCTTGCCCCAAACTCAAGACTGTACAGTCATCTGCTGTTTACACCGTCACGTCAGTGCCTGCAACACCACACGGCACAGGGCCCCTCGGGGCTGTGCTTTTGAATCCGGCTGGGGCTGGGAGAGGGCTTTAGCTTCTTTCAAGTCTCCGTGTTTCCACATTGGTGACGCACAGAGCAATACAGGGCACCCAAAAGAGAAAACAGACCAAATTACACATCCAGTGAATGCCATGCCAAAGCAGAAGCCCAAGAAGTGACAACTACAACCACGTCCTGAGCTTTGGCACCAGCACGGGACACGAGAGGACTGTAAGAGTGCCATGCATTAACCAGAGGATTTCAAATGAAACCATGTTAGAGGAAGCAAGAAGCATTAACCACCAACGCAGTCCTGTCTGAGAAGTTAGAGTGCCGTAGTCCAACAGATTAATATGCATTCCCAGAGTTCAGAGAACTTGTTACCTCTCAACAGTCCTCCACAGCACAGAAATACTTATCTCTCTAATGGGCTCACTGTAGGGGCATGGAAGTCCAATTACAAGCTCCCAGGTCTTCAGACTAAGGGTATGGGAACACGAGTAAGTTACTCGGAGGAACTCAGGACGCGCTTGAGTTTCAAACATTTCAAGAGGTTTCTACAGAAACTGCCTGGGCACAGTCTCGTGCCTGCTGTAAATACCGAGCACCTCACTCCCAGTATCACAGGCAGACACCATATACACAGGCAGTTCATAAAGAAGTAACGGATAGGAAGCACTACCTTTGGTTTTGCTCAACATAACGTGGTTGTGTGCTTTCACCCTGGCTAGGGCCTCTGCAGAGCAGGAGCTACTGGCCAGGGGAATGGCTAAAGCCACCCACATGAACTGGGCAGCATTGGCTCAATTTAAATCACGGGATTTGGTGTGACGGGAAGAATTTAGGCTCAAGACAGCATGAGGACTAGGTGCATTGGTTCAACTAGCACTACAGCATCTCAAGGAGATTTGCTAAATCCCTGACAAATAGACTGCTGGGTAACAGAAATAAGTCAAACCCATGAAAGCCCTCTGGAGAAACTAGAAGTGAGCCTCTCCCATCCATGAGAACCTCTGCCACCACTTTCGGTCTTCAGTGGGCCCTTTTACCCGCCTTCTAATGGCTTCTGACACCACTGTGAAACATGCACGCAGATCATCGTAACTAGCTTGTGGTTTTAATTCTTTTAATATCAAAGCATCCAGCCAGCAGAATACCATTATAGTTTTAGAAGCTGCACAACTACCTGTTAGTTAGTAGGCAGTTAATTCACCTCCCTCCAAAAAGGCCAAACACGGTGGTTCTTACACGTACACGACACACACACATCATGTCTAACCTGTACCAATAAGTGAGGCAGCAGCTTCCACTTGCAAATTGCTAAATATGAAACTCAACAGTGCATTTTTTTTGGATATATTAATAATGGAAAGAAAATCTAATCTAGGAACAAAAAGCAGAAATAATTTTGTTAAAGACTGAAGCTGGTGTTGAATGTTTCAGACACAAGCTACTGGACTTACCCTGCAGTGACTTTCCCAATCCCTGGCCCAGCTTCCAGCCATGTTTCTGGAGTAAGCGGTGTCCAATATTATCCTGACAGACAGAACAGAGAAAACAAACCAAAAATATTCCAATAATATATTCTTCCCTTCCCGCTGACATTTAAACATGTGATGAGCAAGAGATTTTCTACATATATATGCATGCAAAAAAATGCTACTGAAAAGGCAATATATGCCCAATAAAAGGGAAAGACAAATGTCAAAAATTGCTGGCTAGAATTTTTCCAGGGGGATGGGGTATTGGGGACGGTCACTTTCTGATGGTGTGCTGGGCAACTTTTGTGGAACACGTTTAAAATAAAATAAAAAAAAAAAAGCAATGTGGGAGAAAAGAAAGTGTACCAATAAAAATTGACAGTAAAAAGCATAAAATCAAGCTATTTATACAATCATATCCATCACCTAGACAGCACCACTTAAGATTTTTCGTAAAGAAAATCTACAATGTGTTTAGTCATTTTGTTTGTGTGTCAGGCTTTTATAATACTGAGTAAGTTGTAAGTGCAAGACTGCCCCACCACTAGAAACCAAAACACAATCATAGCAAAATCCAGGCTAGACTTGATTGGGTTTTTTTATATATGTATATATATATATAAACTAGCATGCAGCCAATATTAAACTGAAAAAACAGTGAGGTTAGTAAAACAAAAAAAATCAATTAAATAAAATGAGCTCAAGCACAGACTGGGTGATGCATTTCACGTGTAAACTAACAAAAATACTAAGATGTTAGAATGAAACAGGCCTAGCAGTAAGTTAACAGCAAGGAACCATTAGTGCATGTAGGGGAAACAATAAGCATAATGTCTCATCTTCCTAAAACAAAAAAGCTATTTCAGAATAAGTGGAAAAGTACTGACGCAGCAATTAAGTGTCAGCTTTTGAAAATAGGGCTGAGCAGGGCTCTGCGTGGAGTTCATTATGTTTTCATGCAAGATTTCTTCCCCCAAACAAAGAACAAGAGTGCTAACGGCACCCTTGTAACCATCTAAAGCTGACAGCTTATCCCTTATCGATCAGTTTACCAGTTTACTAGCAGTGACCAACTGTCAACTCCTCAAAGAAGGACTCTCGGTTAGGACCGTGTTCACCTTCTAATCATGAAAAATAAAAATAAAAATCAGATATGTATTTGTTGATTATTAATTGTCATAAGGCAAACCACAACTCAAGATATCACAGAAATATCCTGAATTATAAAAGGCTGTGAATCCATAACATTGAGTGGTACATGGAATCTTTAAAAAAAAAATATATATATGCTGCAGGTTTCTTTAATTAAATAACCAAGTCGTCAACAGAAATCAGAATAGCAGTGTTGTTTTCACTCACTCCACATTGAAGAAAATGACCACACAGTTTGCAGAACTTTGGTGAATCAACTTGAAAGACACAATCTTCCCAAAGATATTGGCTGCATGGATACATTTTTCCTCAAAAAGATTCTATCAAGTATAAATTTAATTTTTTGTTCTGATATATCGGTAAAGCAAGACATTTCATGTCACTGTATTTTTCAAGACAACAGTGTACATTTTTCCCACACTACCGGCTCTCCCCCAGGACATAATTAGGGCTACATGGAAAAAAAAATTAAAAAAGGAAAAGTAAGGAAATGTCTGGTTATAAAAGCTTAAATCAGTATATGCAAAAAAAGGAAAAATGAACAAATATGGATTCCAACCACAAACACCATGGAGAAGACTATCAGTTCGGAAGCGTAGGAAAACTTACCTGCAAACATATCTGCTGCAGACCGTTTCTCGAACGGCCACAACAACTGCACAGTCCTTCATGCAAAAGGGGCCCAAAGTTCAAAGGTTTTGCGGATAACGCACTAATTATTCTACCATTAGCATTGCAACTGTATCTGACAAAGGATTACTGAATCGGATTTTAAAGGCCGGTGCTGACAAAAATGGCTGCATTTTCAAAAAAAGGACAAGGAGTACTTTGCAATCTTTTGCTAAGTGGAGATGAGACATTGTGCTGACTGTGTTGTGTTATGAATGCACTAAAATAAACAGACAGATGAAGCAGTATGCTATTTCCAAAAGCAGTGCAAGTGGAGTGAAAGCATTTCCATACGAACCTGGCTTTAAAAACTGGGCTGTCAAAAGAACAGTTAAATGTAACACAAAGTAAGAAACTGTCCAATCACTAATGGTAGTTTTTCTTTTGCTTTGTTTTCAATTCACTGCTTGCAAGTAATGTATTTATTAAAGAAGAGTGAAAGCATAAAATAAATTCAACAAGTCAAGACCAGCTGGGAGATTCAAGAGCGGTGTGTTGTGACTGACACAGTGAAGGGGTAAACAAATGTTAAAGGGAAAAAAGAAAAATTTAGAAGGGTTATACACATTAGCACCACTTTTACAAAACCACTCAAGAGGATGGTCGCAAGTTGTTTGACATAAATTGGAATTATGCCTGAATATTATCCTGTCTTGGTTCCCAGGAAGGGGGTAGTCCCCCCCACCCCATCCCCAATCGCTTCCATTTGTTTGCTTAAGCAGTGAAACTACTTCCTAATTTTAAATATTACTGAATTGAAATGGAGCTGCTTCTGTTTCGCTGAATAGGGAGAACAACCCTAAGAGTTTAATATTAACATTTGAGCTGGTACCTAGTCATTAGTCTCCTCATGACAATTTCTAGCCATGTTCTACCTTCTTCCTCCATTTCAAATCGCTGTCGCAGACCTCTCACAGAGGCAGACTGGCAGGACTGCTCTTAGCTTAAATGCTGCCCTAAAAATTAAATTATTGAAGGCCAGGCTTGCTAGGCTCCCATGTGAGAGCCATCCTGCAAAGCCTGGCGGCCTGGGGAGTAGCCAGGGATATTAGGACCAAAATTTGACATGGGGCAGCAAACATTGCAACAGCTGGTAGCTTTTTTTTTCAATTGCACTTTTAAGTGAAAGCTCTGTAAAAGTGCAGACTCTTTCACATAGAAGAGATGTCTTTTTTTACATCAAACTTCCTGTCGGTGTCAAGAACTGTCATTCCTTTTGAATAAATTATCCTCACATTGTAGCAGTTTTCCTACAGGAAGAGTTGCAGTGATCTACAAAAAACACCAATAGCCCAACGAGGAAATCCCCCCATTTCTCAGCAGAGAGCTGGCACAGGTCTCCTCACTTTCTTACACTATCATTTTGGAGTTCCTTGCGTAACAGCCACAATAAAAATCATTGAGGCAGGCAAAATAAGTCTCCCAATAGGTGTTTGAGTGAGCAAGTGAGCTCTCATTTACGATCCAAACTACTCACAACAGCAGCGCTATCCACCTGGGCAAATGGTCATGGAGACGATGCTGGACACCAGATTGTGGGATGCTCAGTGTAGGACAAAGTAGCTCGGCAGGCTCTTGATGGAACAATTTACACCTCCCAGCATTACTCTCACCACTTTGGAGCTGTTCATTAGTGATCATTTCTACTTACAGATGGGGAGCTTTGCATTACAGATGAAGCGTAACTTTTCCAAAAGTAGGAAATGTAAAGGTCTTGACTTCACCAAACGGTCATAGGAGTTGGCCAAGCTACTTTGGAAAATCTCATCCAAAGTGACCTTCTCCAACAGCTCAAACTGGCCTCCCCAATTCCCCATCCTGTGCCCTGACACGATGCCCTTAATTGCCTTCCACAGGCATCAGTGATTCTTGATCAGGATATCCCCAGCACAAATTTCTGACACAGGTCCTGGCCAATAGAAAAAAAATGCATACAATGAAAAGATGCGTACAAGAACTGAAAGGTTTTGATGATGTTGTATGTGGGATATAATCTGCAGTCGGTGGATTGAGCTGCATTACTCATAAACCAAAACATTAGTTTTGCCTAATACAGGTTTTCTGTAAGATCCCCACGCCACCCCACGTATCGTGTTCACATCGTTCATCTCCCGGCATCGTCAGGAACCATACGTCTCTTGAGTGGATTGTAAGCTGTGCTGACTGTGTATTGAGGAATCTATAAGCAAGGATCGGATGCTACTGGGTGAACCCATGCAAACAAGAAGTTGAAAAGATTCCCAAAACAAAACCTATAGCTCACTACAGATGACACAATGAAGACTAGAGAGAAAAGCCAAATAGTAATGCTACACCATTCAGCTTCAAGAAGCACATTATTTATAGCGCTGTCCACATATGGCTACTGCTAAATGTCAAATCAGCAGCCTCATCAAATTACACTTTGGAACTAGTGGAGTCCACAGATCTGTACAGATATACAGTGCGACAAAACCCAGCTTCAGCTCATACAGTCGTCTACAACAGCCTGTGATCATCAAACAACTACCAACTGAAGCCTGAAACCTTGTGTAGTTCAAGGACCTCCTTGTGTAACTGAGCAGAATTAGAGAGAGGGAGGGGAAAAGGACATTTGTTAGTTATGACAAGGACAAACTAACAAGCTCCAGAATAAGTGGGTGATACGCAGTCTCGCCTCCAACCTGCAATGACAACAGCTTGGTTCGACTCCCTGACACTCTGCATACTGCCTGCATGGGGAAAGGGCTGCTATCTTGTGTAGGCTCTAAGGATATATTGCTATCTCCTACTTGATCTGTACTGCTGGGACAAAGAAAACCATAAATTCACAGCAACAAGATTCAGTAAACAAGTAGAAATAAGGAATTAACATGAAGAAAATCTGGGTTCTATTAACGCTGCAATACTTTGTGACTTCCCATTTGAGTAGCTGAACTCAGTGCACTCAAAATATTTTAAAACAAATGCATGCAGCTTCTTGAATTTAAAAAAGGGTCACGTGCTCTGATTTTTCAAGGACACCAGACACCAGTGGTTCCACTGACGTGAACAGCCAGCGTTAAGTGCAACATCTTTCAAACCAGAACAAAACAAAATGTTACTTGTGGGGGGAAGAAAAAATTATCAGTATTTGCAGCTATGAAGAGTCCATTGATATGAAATATTTTCTTCAATTTAGTAATGGAAAATAGCTGGCTTCTCGTTTAGGCTACGTACATCCACTAGCTCGTGTCAGCTCTATTCTCCATAAATGTACTTTGGTTATAGTCGCATGTTTCAGTCCAGACATCTTTGGCCTAAACAAGCTGTACAAAGCAGGATTTCCACAGGAACAGAAATACTAGTACGCTAATTGAGGACACGTTTCAACATTGTAATGATCTGTAGACTCCCAAACCTATTTTTCCAGCCACCTTTGAGTTGCATGCTGTAGCAGTACAGTCAGCACCTCTCAACAGATAATGCTGCAGAGATGGATCTCACTTCAGCGGTGATCATCAAATGCATACTTCAAGTGAAACCCTCTGCCCCCTGGGATTTCCAAATGCAAGCTACCTTTAGTCTTTAAAGCGTTTTCATATTACTAAGACAACGTGAGAAGCTGCAAGAAGCACGTTTAAGAGAATATACTTAATCCACTCTTCAGTCTGTAGAATAACCAAACTAAACTTTTAACTGGGAAGTGCTTTGATCTGCTATTGTTATTAACACCCTTCCTCGCACAAAGACATGTCATCTAAACTACTTCCACAATGTGAAGCATAGGCTCTTACTCATTACCCTGAGCACATTCCTTTTTAAAGGCCACTTGAATTGCTAACAGAGAACTGGTTAAGGATTATAAAACAATTTGTGAATAAACGTTAATATTGCAAATATTTAGATGTGTAGTATTTGCAAATTATATACTTGTCCTCACTCCTTCCCTCTCAATTTCAGTTCAAGGATGTTACCCACTTCGAGGTGAGCAAACAGCATAAAACACAAGAAGGCAGAAAAAGCAGTATGAACGCCTCTTTCCTAGTGAAAAAATCTTGCAGGAGAGGTACACCACTAAACTCTTGACAAGAAAACCGTTCCTTCTTTTAATGTGTGTAATTTGCCAATTTAAAAAGCACACAGGTCATTAATAGTGTAGAAGCAAAATCATTTTCACAGGTGTCAGGAAACTTGACAGAATTACTTATGCTTCCCAGCTACAGATTTTCTTTTAAGAATCAACAATGTACTTAATGAAGACGATGTGAAAATTAACCTTAAAAGTGACCGGTTTGTTTCTGACTGCAGTTTCTGACACGGGGCTTGTTCACAAGACCAAAAAAACCACCCCATGTAGCAGTCACAGCTTTTAAATTCTGGGACTGGCACGTGAAGCCAGCTCAAGTGCGCTCCGACACAGACCACAGCTGATGTGAATGCAGAACATACATTTACTCAGTTCTGTGACTCCTTCCAAGAGTTTAATATCCCAGGCTAGGGGTCTTACACCTCAAATGCTTGTTTCTCTTATTACAGACAAAACAAGAGTGAAGGAAACTGGGTTTTAAAGTAAGAACAATTGGAGGCTTTAACTCTTTCTCCTCCCAGAGGCAAGCCATTCTCTTGTCCTCTCCATCAAACTGTTTTCAAATTTAACCATGAGGCTGAACTGTACATATTAAAGCCTACCAAAAAGTTGTAAAGATTAATAATGTCCCAATATTTGGATGGTGATATATATATGGATAAAATATTCAAGCCATAATTGAATTTAATTTTTCTGCCACAGTTCAACATTAATCAAACTGCAATGAAGCATTACATCTGCAGATGATCCAAGCTGCACTGTGAGCCTGTGTGTCCGTGTTGTTGGGTCCAGTGTACTCGTTCACATTTTACACACTTCTGTAGGCATCACTCCCTTCAGAACACCAAAGAGATGTCATCTGTGACCACTTCTATACCTCTGTTTGGGAAAACACTTTTAGAAATCAGATAACCAGTCTAGTCCATAAGTAGTATTTGAATTATTTTGAAATGTTAATTTCCAGTGTGGCACAGAGTAGGCTACCAACAAGTATTTCTCATGGTATTTACATAAGGAAACAAGCTTGGCATTTTAATTAAAATCCCCATATCACAACGTAAGATTGAAGTATTCAGGAGAACATTGAATACGAATTCCCATCTCTGCAGCATTATCTCATGCGTCATCAATTACTGCCATGCCTAAATCTAGCATCATGCCAGCACATTAAGACAGTAGGTACTATATGCAGTGTTCACTGGACCAGAAGAACAGAAATAAGAAGGGGGAAAGGAAACCCTAGAGAAGAAATTAAAAAAGGCAGACCGTGCAATACAAACCAGATCATGGCTGCTTAGCTAATATGGGCCAACTGCTGCGGAAGAAAAATGTCGAACACCCCAAGTTGTGTAAATTTTTTGTAAACATCTAACACGCACACAAACACACACAACACCAACCTACACATGAATGAAAAATATATATTGATCTTTTGCTAACGCTAAGTTTCTTCTAAGTGCAGACTAGTGTGAAGAAACTTTAACAGAGAACTTAAATTATTAATAGGGAAAAGAAATACTTGAGAAGTACTTTCTTAACAAAAATCTAGTCTTAATCAGAACACCACTAAGTGACCCTCGATTATTCACTACAGGTTTTCTTGCTCTCGTAGTGAAACTGCAAATGAAGCTTAGCTAAAGCTAAGTGCCAAACTTAAGTCCAGTTTAGGCTGAACAAGCCATTGTGCCGAAGACTAGCAGAAGATGCTTTGCACAGAGAAAAATTTAAAAGCTCCAAAAAGCTTAAAAAGGTAAAACTAAACAAAACTTAATTTTTCCCTATCTTATGGCTGCACTCTCCACACCTAATTCAAAGTAAAGCAATACTTTAAAGAAACTCACAGCGCAGTTTCAGATTCATGGGGAAGGACTGCTATGCTAATACTGTAATGCATCCGTGTTTCCGTACTGCCAGATGTCATTCTAACTTTTCTTAACACACCAGTAGTTTTCCAAAAATATAAAAAGGATCAAAATACATTTTACTACACTATTCCATCAAGTTCTCACATGAATTAAACTGCTTCTTAAACCAAAAGTATAAAAAGAAAATCAGTATCTATGAATGAATGTATTATTTTAAATAATTTCTAAAATATCATGCTGAACTGAAATTTAAACTCACCTATAGTTTTAGGAGAACTACTTCAAGATTAAATCCCAGTCCCACTTAATCTCAGCATGCAATTTACCACAAAAAATTAACCCTGTACTGACAAAAAGATGCCCGCTCCTATCAAATTTGACTGCATTCACATCAAGTACCATCCGATCACGGCCTAATTTTTGGTGGGTTGATGATGCTGATAAGTATGTATCTTACCGATTCTATAGGCTTGTCTAGAGATGCTTGCTCTATCTCCAGGTGCCCTTCTTCATATTGATCAAAGTGATTGCCCTGTAAAAGAAGATGACTGTTAGCTCTACAGCAGAGAACACATTTCCAACAGTCTAGTTTCAAGATTCAGGTTTGTACACGGTGTTGTACTTTATATAATTTGCTAGCAAAACAAATGAACTTATTAAATACAGGCTCAATTCAGTATACAGGCTATAAGAACAAAAAAAAAATTATTCTAAAAACTAAGCCAATTTGATGATAATCAAACTATGGAAGTTGGCAAAATATCAAACATTTATGACGACAATACTTTCGGGGGTTTTTTTCTTTAGAAAGTCTATGAAAATGCTGACCATAAGCACCAGTGCTGGCTTTAAAACCACACAGGACAAGAAGCAGAAGGAATTGACCCCGCCACCACTATAAAAGAGAAAAGACAACAAAAAAAACCTTTAAAGAAGAGTAAGGCTTTCCTTGCAGCAGGAAATCCAAATTGCTGGAGACATACATGTAATTTCACACACCTTAAGTCAACAAAAACCCACAGTGGTACCAAATGAAACCTCTCCCCATGCCCACAGCGCTTGTTCATGGTCTGAAGCAGCCCTTTCCATGAATCTAGGCAGCTGCACAGTGAACCATTAGTGGAAGTGATCCTCCAACATAGTGGAAGCGATCCTCCAACATGCAAAAAAATTGTTAGTTTCAACCCCGAGCAGTCCCCTGAGCCAGCGGACCAGACAGCCACACAAGCACATATGGTGGCACAAAGAATGCCAGCCATGCCCACAGCGCTTGTTCATGGTCTGAAGCAGCCCTTTCCATGAATCTAGGCAGCTGCACAGTGAACCATTAGTGGAAGTGATCCTCCAACATAGTGGAAGCGATCCTCCAACATGCAAAAAAATTGTTAGTCAAAACCCCGAGCAGTCCCCTGAGCCAGCGGACCAGACAGCAACACAAGCACATATGGTGGCAAAGAATGCCAGGATGCACGCACAGAACTGCTTATTCCAAATGTACCAGCTTAAAGCATTTGTGAGCACAGTACCTAAAACTGCTACACAAAAAATGACAGGACTGAGGAACATGTCTGAGGAAAGAGAGACGGACCAAGAGATACACAGGGAAATGCGCTGATGAAGTATGCAGATACTCACACAGCAAAGAAAACGCTACAAAGAATGATAAATCCAAGCACCTCGCTTCCTTACACTCCCAGAGCAACCCCATGAAACATCTTGAGACCTATAGACTGGCCACGTATAATAAAGTAGATAGGAAAATTAAATAGGATTGTTATCATCGTGTACTGTGCCCAGCCTCCACCAACGTACATCATACACACCTCTAGATTGCTGATTTCTGAACAGGGCAACCTCTCTCCTATCCATCAGTGCCTTGTAAGCACAGTACGACGCACAAACGACAGCCACTAGAGTAGAGACTAGAGCCAAGCAACCCTCCTAAAGCATCTGCTACAGCAAAATCCAATCTTTCCATGCATGAGCATACAGGGCTCATGAGCTAGGACGGCAAATGGCAGTCTCTGTCCTCCAGAATAACCACTGGTGCTGGAATGGCAGTTTCAGGGGGAAAAAAAAAAAATCTCTGTTGTAGCTCTGTTTTAATTTCAGAGGTTTCTGAAACCTCAAATTCCTGAAATTGCAAACATGGTGAACCATTTTTGGCCATTCAATACATCCATGGTGTAGCACTAACATCCACCATTGCTATCACAGACCTGGAGAGGAGGGGGAAAAAAAAAACCTCTGACTTTCTAGCTGCAAACTCAAAATCAAACAGGAGAGATACCTGCAGCTGAGACTAACACAAAAGCCACCAAAGGGGGTCATTTCAGCTGGCTTTCCTACGTTCCCTGGGCACTGCTCAGTGTCACTGCCCTGTGAAACCCCAGGAGGTGCTAAGGCCTCGGCTGTCACCCCCTACTCCTTTCCCAGGCCCCACAGTGCCACTGAAATCCTTCTGGCTGCTCAGCGAACATCAAACACCTGGCAGTTTTTATTTGCATCCCAGCTCCGCAATTACTTTGAGCAGGAACACCTAGCACCGCTGCCAAGAGAAACATGTTGTCACACTCCTCTTTTCTACCAACACCAACGTTTCCTTCTGCAAGAATTTTAATGAAAGCCAGCATGCGAAAGAGCAAATTGTAGTTGTAATGGACTGCCTGTTGGAATATTACAAGCCAGGCACCAGCCTCCAAAAATCCTCTGGAACGAGTGTTCCTATCCAGTGATGCAAGTCTGCAAGAGACCATCTTGACAAAAACCTGTTGCCAAGAGAACGTGCTTTGATGCTGGTGCCCCAACTGCCAGCCCATACATCATCTGCCGTCCACAGCGATAATTCACCCAGGCCACGCTCTGCTCCCAGTAGTCGTCTTTCCCACGGCCTCTCCAGAGCAAATCTGGGGCTTAATCTGCAGGCAGCAGTCCACTCCCATCCATTTTTTTTGGACAGCCTTCAAGGAGCAAGCTGAAGGCAAACTTACCATACACATGCAGTCGTTGAGCTGCTTAAAAAGACTAGTAATTGTTGGAGCCGGGCACAGTGTAGACGTACAGACTGTACACGCATGTGCTGTGAAGTCAGGGAGCCCAGCAGGGAGAAGACAACATAAAACCTGCCCCAATGGCAGAAGGACACAGCCCAGCCTCCCAAAAAGTAGCGCCCAAGAGAACAAAAGCAGTCAAGAGTGCACATGCTGTTAATGAATTTGCACCTTTGACTGCTGAATGCTAGCAAAAACACATTACTAAAACTTCATATATAAAGAAGTTAAAGCCACATAACATTTAGCTAACACTTGAAACACTCAGCAAAAACATACTCCCCCCCCCCCCCCCCCCTTTTACCAATG